CGATGAAATTTGGAAATTTGCTTGCATGATATTCCAGAGCCCACTGCAGAGGGGAAACGCCAGAGCTACCGCTATCAGGAAATCATAGTTTCTAATAATAAAGGTGATTTATTCCAGCGCAGCTCAGATATCGGCGAAATAGTAGAGTATGAGCTGATGGTTTGAAATGAGATGACAGGGTGCCACTTGCAGATGACGAAGCGATACCCTGATAAGTTCTGTTTGCCTCCACAAATCAATCTCGTACATGGACAGCTTCCTTTAACTAATCCTTTCAATTAGAAGTACACTCGAAACACCCTTCGGAATGTTCAAATCCATAAAATTCACCATGAGATCCTTAGACGTTTTAAGTCACTGCCGTACAGTAGGGTTCCACAAAAAGATTTGCAGTCGAATCCATTCAAACAAAACTTTTCCATCTTTTGTGAACCCTAGTCCACTATGGATACACTGAAGATTCGGAATGCTCAGATCATCCTCCTCCATGTTGCGGATATGTGAGTGACTGCTTACACGAAGCAGTGGCTTTTGGCATCTTTTCTGGCTCAGCCCACTGCAAAACCACAACAACGCGATGGAGAATGTGCAGAGTTTACTTGCGTGTTCATAGTACACTTTGCGCTGGGTAAATCTCAAGGCGCTGACATTAGTTTCACAACTTCTTCGGGAAATCATCGTCTTGGCATCTAGGCGGGAGCACCAGATTTCCCTTTATCACATAATCATAGTTTCCAGAAGAAATCCGATACTGTTTTAGAGCAGCTCAGATATCGGTGAAATAGCATAGGATGAGTTGAGAGTTTCAAATTTCCCGAACTTATCGGGTGTCGTATTAGGGCAGGCTTTTTCGGATTCATGGTGAACATAGAGCTACGCCCTCGCCTTGGTGACAACATCTTGAGCTGACTACCCGAAAAGTAGCCATACCAATCTCTTGCAGTTGTTTAGTACGTGAAAGGGCCTCTGTCGCTGATGTTATACACCGCGACAAGATCTGCAATAAGCGGCTCGCAGCAACGGAAGAGATGAACCAGCTCCCATCTAATGAAAGCTATTCATGTCCCGTTTGCTTTCTGGAATGGACAAGAAATGGCTTTGAAGAACTTCTTAGGTAATTTCTAGTCTCACCAGCTGCCTCCAATGACATTCGTAAAGCTTTTTTGAATGGCACAACAAATTCGTCTCAAGTGATACGGCGATAGCAAAGTCATACCGTGACCAAGAAGGGAAAGTGGACTACGGAGGTCGATTTAACCAACAAACGGGACGGCATAGCTGTTGTGGAATTTGGGAGCACTGACAAGGGAGCTCATCGAAGTGATTCATGAACAAAAACGTTGATTGATTCAAATTCACATAGGCTTTTCAAAATCCAAAGTAAACAAGAGCTTTGTCGTGTACCGCAAACACACCCCACGCATAAATCAAATAATTTGTGCACCTGAGCCTCACACGTTCTTTTCATTACAGAAACGGAAATTCAGTCCGGAAACGCGGTCCCCACAGTAAACTTGCGATAAATCAAATGAACTTCACGGACAATATCCCTCACGCTTGGATGCACACATCCCAAATTCGTTACATAACAACATATCAGGAAAGATCCAGGGCTAGTAAACGGGTGCAGTAGCCCGCCACCTGACCGTGACAGGATTTCGAATCAGGACTCACCACTCTGGTTACTGTAGGAGCTAGGTCACCATGTTGAGGGTTTTTTCTGTATTCTCCTCTAACTTTGATGAATAATTACTTTTGAAAACAAACTTGCGAGATATCCACTACAATGGACAGCGTTCACCCACGGACTGGGCACCACCTGGTTGCAAAGATTTGGTAAGATGGTGATTTTTTGTCCCAACACGAAACCCTGAATGTTCCGATATAAGAGTGCGATAATCACAAATTTAGTGTAGAACAACCAGCTTCTCCCCTCAAAGTTAGTCTACTGAAAACTGAGCATCCCCCCCCCCCCCCCCCTCTGTATAAAGCTGACTGGAGAGAACGTACTTTCAATAAAATCGGCATTAGAGAGGGATACAATTCGCCTCCTCTTGATAGATGAGATCAGAAAAAATCGCAACGTATTATGCAGCTAATAAAACTGGTATTTAAGGCTGTTAACGGAAACTTCAAACAGGAAAATCACTGGAACAAGTGTAAGTCGGTTGCTAATGCAAAAGATACAGATCGACTACAGCCACAGCCTAGTCCGGACTGCCTGGGAAGACGCCGATGCACCTGATTAATTCAAATGCCGGAAAACGAATAGTTACCGAGGAAAAGACGAAAAAATGACTTGTGAATATCGCAATTAACTGAGGACGCCGGTAATGCAGTTTTTCGTCAAATTAAGTCTCGAGATAGGGAGAATTCATTGAATGCCGTATAATTTCAAAAGATTTCATGCAACATAAACTTAAATTACTTCAGGGAATGTTTCTAAAGCTAATTGTAAGATAGCGAACGAAACCTAAAGATTACCAAGTAAGAATTTGTAAGATCTGGCCAAAATGCTGGAAACAAAAAGAGTTGATTAAAAACAGCCGGATAAGTATTATTAAAGCACATTAAATCGGCCAAAAATGGGATAGGAGGCTTCCCGTCTCTAACGCTAAGAGCTAGAGCGCAGAGAAGTTTTGGACGTTAGGTGTACAAGCTTGTAAAGGGGGATGATACTCTTCTTAGACAGGGAATTTCTTAAACCGAGAGAAATAGGAGCATTAGGATAGATGATATGCTGAACTTGACGAAATAAAAGCTGGTTCGGGAGAAGAATTGGCGAGAAAGCTACTGTCTTGTGAAGAGAGCGCAGACGAGAGCGCGAAAAAGCGTGGCCCAGCATCAACTCCACTCCCATCCAATATCGGCACTAACTATAACATGAGCGGAATGAAAATTCAACGATATGAAATGCAACAGAGTTCTGACCCTTCTTGTTTGAAAAAAAAAATCCAAAAATTTAGAAAACGACACAACGTGTTGCTACTGAAAGACTTGTATTTTTGATTTACAGACCTGCTGTCAAACAAAATTCCCCTCCCCACAAAGTGCAGACCGGGAAGTTGCCTTCGAGTGCAAAACAAATATATACAAGAAGTGCATCTGTTCTGTTCGTAGACATTGCATTACAAATCAAAGTTACCCAACTTGCAGTTGACAAATGACAGTCGACAGTTCGAAAACATCTACAACAATAATACAAAAAGGAGGAACGAAGTACAGAAAAAAAAATAAGAGAAATCGATCAGCAACAACATTGACAAGGTTAGAACGCGGGGTCAACGCCGGCATTAGTGATCGAGCAGGTCTGCCCTAGGGCAAACTAGCGCCCCATCAAACGNCCAGGTCGCTGCGCAGTTCCCATCTGCAGGCTGGACAAACCGAAGTTCAGTCTCCAATGCTCTCGAGCCCTGTTTCTATGTGTGTATATGGTTGCACGTATTACACCTTAACCGTTTACAGGGCCACTGTCAATGGCGACTAAGGTTGTTCAGATTTTTGTCGGATTGTCTGTGCCCTCTTGAATAGTAAGCTCCCTTGCTGCTGAAAGACAGAAGAGCTCGTCAGGCACGTTGAAGCTACATCGTTGAAGTAGGGCTCCCTGTGAAAGTGGAGGGAATGGGAGGGGGACGTTAGCAATTCAATTTCACATTTGTTCGTTGTTCAGACGTATGGGGCTCTGGGGCTCCTATCTTAGGCTTCTCCTATCTTAGGCTTAGGCAAGAATGTCTCAGAATCAAATCTGGCTTGGGTTAGGGATACAATGGAGGGTTAGCATTTATAGTATGACGCCAAAGATGACGTCGGCCGTCGGCCGTAGATCGATACTTTGCACATCTATGACTCATGTTGCAGGCCGGCCCAGTGACCCAGTAAAAAGGAGTGATTTTGCTATAAGATTTTATTTCTCGAGTAGAAGAACAGATGAAAGGTCTACTTTTCCCAGGAACTTGCAAAAGAGGAAATAGCTCTTTTGAGGAATAAAAAGAGGACGTACGATTGCATGATTGTACTAGTGAGTGTGTCTACCTGTCTGGGTGTCTCTCGTGTCAGGGTGCTAATTCCTGGCATCGATCGACAATCGACGCCGATGTCGACGGAAAAACGCCGGCAGTATGAATGCGCCCAGCGGCTCCACTGACTCCATTTTTACCGAGCTCCACGGAGTAGACAGCATGAAAAGCGAGAGACTGTTTTCCATTACGTCTTTCCTTTCGTTTCACTAGTTTGAGTTGAAAATCAAATCAGGATAAGTAGTTCCCACCTCTTCTGACAATAAACGACCTACTGACCATTCGACGGGAAGACGCTAAGAAGGAAACGAGCAACAATGAACGGATCTTTTTTTGCACAACGGGACTGCTCCCCTAAACTCGTGCAAAACTAACAAAGCGCGACAAGTCGTCTTACATTCTCCTTCTAGAATGTCTCTTTTTGGCTATTCCGCACTTCTGTGATGCTATGTAAAGCTCATAAGGGACAGCTGGGAAAGATAAGGCAGGGATTAGCCTGAACAAAGGCGCATTCACTTTCCAGAACTTTTCTTCTTGTCCATGTGACAATATCCCATAGCGCACTCGGATGGGGGCCTTTTATATATACTATGGATATATCCATACGAGCGAAGGCAGCATAATGCTATCGCAAGCACGGCCAGGAATCAAGCCCCACACCAAATCCTAGAGATAACGTCATGCCTTGGAATGAACCCGGGGCTTCACGAATTACGCGTGCATTACGCGACTTGTTACGTGGGTTGCGGACAAAGCGCATAATAACGACTAGTTTTTGAGCTGGAAAGACTGCTTGGTTTATTCTTCTAGTAGCTTACTTTTTGATGTTTCTTCGATGTTGTCTTTGCATGTAAAAAAGTCTATGGATGATTAGCAATCTTCAGTGTTTTCTGATCAAAAATCACCCGAAAGCAGCAGACAATAGTTACATTCTTATTTCAGAAATGACTCGACATGGGAAAAATTGTACAGCTTCATCGGTTTATTCATATCATGAGCGAAAGCGTGACGCTAAAGTCAGTGGATATGGTACACTTCATGCACGTTTGGGAGCTGATTCCATTAAAGAATTCGATTGTTGTTCCCTCACACTGCAACCCTGCAAGTAAGACCTCCATTTGCTTTATTCTTTTATGGTTTTAATGAAGAAGTAATAGACGCAACTAGACATCTCTTATTTCCTCCATAAAGATATCACACTCGATTCTTATATTTTTTTTTCAAATCAATCAAACCCGCAAATCGGTTTCTTCATCCATGTTCCCTCTGACGCTATGATTGAAATCAAATTTTCAATTTCAAAGATTTGGTGCCTTAACTTAATATTTTATCCGAAATCTAATTTGTGATTTTCTGCCACTGAACGCTAGTTTCGCTAAACTTTTTTTTTCACATGGCTTCAGTGCTAGGCTACAGTGAACCTCTACTCAGCGAGCGCAGCCTACTTACCAATTAGTGCTTTAGAAGTAATTTTATGTTTATATGAACTCATGAATGTAGATGTTGCGGCATGGAATTGTTAATTTCGGTGCCCTAAGCATCTTAGAACGCTAGCTTCTACAGGGTTCTGGAGTCTAGACCACAAGCAATGCATATACTTTTCTTCAGAGAATTGATTGTCGAAAATGACGCCATTGGGTTTTACAAAAATCTATAATCTGCTTTGGTCAGGAACCCTGTGATAACTCCTGGCGGATACCTCTTTGATCGCGAAGCGATTTTGGAGTATATCCTAGCACAAAAGAAAGAAATAGCCAAACGGACTAAGGAATGGGAAAAACAGAATGCATTAAACGAGGAAGAACAGAAGAAGGTCGGTTAATTTGAATGCTAATTCTCTTTAAAATTATTCCTAAAGTTATGCTGGACTGGATAATGATTATGATTATTTGATCGTTTCTATTTCGAGAGTATGAGGTTTTATGAGGTTTATCACAAGTGGTTATCAGGGAACATTGCATTGATAGTTTAACTTCGGCGCTGATTCGTCCATTACATTATTATTCGTCCATTACATTGATTTAAAGCGGTTCGTGCATTCATCCCCGCAAAAGCACTGTCACAATTACTGACTTATGATTTAGTGGAGAAAAATTAACGTCCTTGCATACAAATGTTTCAAATTCGCTTACTTTCGGTGTTTTTTGCTTTCAGGCCCAGAAGTCAGACCAAGATGCAGCAGTTCGGAAGTTCGCCGAGGTTGAGGGCACTCCTGCTCATCCTGGTTATAGAAGTAGCACAGATGAAGCACCTGAAGGAAATCCAATTTTGAACCCACTGGTAATACTTGGGGACTTCCTTAGGGAAGTATTTATGTGGTTTTTTATTTGTAACTTTTTCAGAAAAGGCCTGGAAGTGCTATCACGGTTCAACCCCCTCAGAAAGTGAAAGCTCTTGGAATTGAGGGCGATATTTCGAATATGAAAGGCGAAAGGTCAGAAAATAGTTCTTCCGCTCCTTCACGTCTTTCTGTTTACAGTCTTTTTTGTGGAGATCCAAATACCATCCTTAATCTTCCATTTATTTATTTATTTATTTTGAATGTGCATTTGTCATATGCATTCATTCGAGCATGTTTACCTTATTTATTCGGTCATATGATAGGATTTTTTCAGGAGTAAGCAGTTGCCCAGTTTTTGGATACCCGAATTAAATCCCACCGCGAACGCGTCAAAGCTGGAAAAACCGGTAGACTTTTGACCGCTTTTCTGATGTCATCCCCAGTCTATGAGTTGGATTATTGCAGTCCCAAAAAGTGTTGTGTCCCCTGTCCGGGAAACCGTTGAAGATGAAGGATCTTATGGAAGTAAAATTCACTTTGATGCCTCCCGATGATGATGAAAAGAAGAGTATTATTGCAGCAAAAGTATGTTTTTCAGTATGTCATTTGAAGGATCTTTAAGTTACTGTTTTAATTACTAAAACTTGAGGTTCGATATATGTGTGCTGTTACCCATGATGCACTTACCAATACCACGAGATGCGCCTATCTGAAGAAATCGTATGTTTTTTTTTTTTTTTTTGAAATTGCCCCACTTTATTTTGCTTTTTCTTCTTTTAGTATTTATAATTAGTATTTCTCCAGTGTTAGTTTTCTTTCATTCTTTTGTTGTGCTTTGCTCACGTTAGATTATTGTTTGAAGGAAGGCGGTGGTTACGTGGGATGTTGTGGAGAAATTAATACGGAAAGATTGGCTGGATCCAGTAAATGGTGAAAAAATGACAGAGGATGACATTATTGAACTACAGAGAGGAGGTGAGAACTCATGAGGGTACTTGTATGAGTAAAAGTCACTAAGAATAAGCTGGTCATAAAAAGTCAAGTAAGAGAGGAGGCATTTCAGTAGACTTTTGACGAGATCTTTTGTGAAGTTTTCATTCTCCATACAAATTGACCTCGAAGTCCTCGAATTATGAAATATTTCCTGAACTTTCCTTTACAGGTACTGGTTATGCAGCTACGAATGAAGTGAAGGCAAAATTGATTCGGCCGCAATTAGAATTACAATGATCTCATTTGTTTGTTGTTCAAATAAAACATCTGAATATGAATAGCATTATTGATAGTATTTTTTACGACAGCTTGCGAAGCAACAGTCATTTCAGCGCCCTTGGTTTGGTATTGAACGGGCTTATCCTGACCCCAGCTTTCACTATCTTATTTCCAAGAATAGTGATATATATTGCGGTCCTTAGCTAACAATCCCGTAAAAAAAACCACGGACAGAAAAGTCGGTGAACTACACATTGGTTATCGCCACAGCAATTATGAAGCGTACTACTGTAGTGATGTTGTCGTGACTTGAATAAACTAGGAGATAGGGGCAGCAACCTTTACACTTGAGTGGCTCATGGGGAAATAAATTCAACTTGGTCCCTTAATTACAGAAAAATAATAATTTGTCAAAGTATTGGGTATAGCTCTTACTGATGCCATTCTAGTCGCTATGTTCTGGTCAGAAAAATAGGAAAGGGGTCCGTGAATAAGTGTGACTACATGGTCGATGAAGAGTTGGCTCATTGGTGTAAACCCCACACCCTCACATGTAGGAGTACCAGTTCTTCTTGTTTGATAAGATTCTAGTTCCGCTCAATGTTAGCATAACGATTCAAGTTTAAAAAACTGAACCGATCCTTCCCGAACAAACAGAGCTAGTTCGTGCCCGTTGCTTTAACTCCCACCTTGTAGCATTGTGCTTATCTGTAGCCAGCAAAAAATACCTCCCACTGTTTCGGACTCAGTTTAGAAGACATTCATCCGAAGTACTACTTTGCACGATATTCCCTTATTCTGAAGCTACTGTCCCGCTAAAAGCTTTGTCCAATGTTGTTTTTGGTATTGTTTAATCTATACAATTCCCTTCCCATTACGAAATAAACTTATAATATCCATATTAAGTACGATAATAATAGGGTAATACGATTTTTTGGAATGTTGTAAAAAAATAAAAGTTTATGATTACCTAGCCATACTCCTGCTTTACGGAACACCCTCCTACCAACACACGGGTACTCACGCTACAATGTATGGTTATTGCACCTTGGTGCCGAGCTCAGGCAATTTCATGTCATCTGAGCATCACCTTTCAGATGAGGGGATGGTCCAGACTCGATAAATTACGGAAAAATATGAATATGAGGTGTTACCCACATAATTATCAGGTCAACTTCTCCCGTCCCCCCCCCCCCCCTACCACTCATTCGTGGAAGTGCAAGTGAGGGGAAAGACGGTTAGCGCCATGCTGACAGAACCATTTCGTGGATGCCATTCATCCCACACTTGCTAGGGTACCAACTTGGAATCAATCCAGGAGTTGGCGAGGAGCCAGACTGGTAATGGTCATATTCTAACAATACAGCCCTTGTAGTTAAGAGTAAGTAAAGACAGTCGAAACCCCAGTAGAATTGTACTGTTGCCGTTTCATTCTCTGACGAAGGTGTGGCTTCGATAACGCTATGGATGGTTGAAATTCTGTGTTGCTGACAGCGTTCACACCGGACGTGCATCGGAATGCGATATTAGCCAAAAGCGATGACTCAGCTTCATCATACCATGTTATGGCCATTTTATAGTTTCCAATCGGAACTGTAGCCTTCGCTGGCAGACTGCCCTCTTTGGTTATTCCTGATGTCTACCCACGGATCAAAGGTTCAGCTTGCTCCTCATGTCTTTGCCAAGGTGATTCATAATCACAAAGGCAACGAAACGATTCCGATGCGAATCGATGACGAGTCACCGTCATGTCGTGATTTCTTCTCTTTCCATTGCTCTGAGCTAGTCCATGTGAGGCGAGAGCTTTCGAACACATGTCTTGCTTCCTTTTTCTCCCTTTTCGGAGTCATCAAAAAGGGCAATGGAATATGTGCCCTTGCTCCATGTATTTGAGATAGCGGCATGATTTACAACCCTTTTTTGTCTGCCGATTTCTACACATGTTACCGTATTATCGCTCTTTTCCTTTTGGAAGTTTCAGAACCATTCAGGCTCAGTCTTAACTGTAAGTGCGCTTGTGTCACTAAATTGTTGCCATACTAGTTATCTACGGGTAAGTTAGTATACAACGAATTTTCATCCCAGTTATGAAGGTATCCTTCCGCAATCAGCTATATGTATGTTACGCTTCCATGCGCAAGAGCGTTTGGAAGCGTTCAGAACTCTACTGCAACTCAATAACCGGGCTCTAGGCTGAACTAACTTCCATGTTATTGTACTAGTTACTCCAGGGTGGAGTAAAAAGGTCTGATGCTCTAAATGATAAGGTGCAGAATCGGATGGTGACCTAGCTCTTGCTGGAGCCTTTCCTTCCCACTACGATGTGATCACAGCAGAACCAGACCACAGATATTTACGAAACTAGAATTATGGAAGGCTAAAATTAGGTACCATAATACTTCAAACACTCTGTTGTCGTAAAACTCTGGAGATTACCAAAACGCCGTTAAACCAGCTGCTCGATCAGCTAATTTCTATTTTTGTCACCTAAGGACAATCACACCTTCTTTATCTACCTCTTCTCCGAATTTTCCGATTAACGGGCCAGATAGCCCGATGGACAGCATTTAAATGCAGCCAGACCAACGACTGTCCATCTTCACTCTCCTTCAGAACTGTACAAGTTTTTCGAGTCCAACGTTAATTAGTATGACTATATTCAGTAGTAACTGAATCAAATTCCAAGTCCTCTCATCTTTAAACCTCGGCATTTCTGTTGTTCTTGAAATCGTAAATTCTTGCTTCTGCTCGAGGTTGGTAGGTAGAAATATTTCCACCTACCAACCTCGAGGCGGAAGCAAGAATTTACGATTTCAATACTAACTGGATAGTTATAATTTGACATAGTCATTAATTACTTATGATTCATTAATAGGATCTATTGCTTATAAACCCCAATATTAAAAGCTTCCCGAATGTTCCACTCACTAACATATTTGAACTCAAAAAATTCTCGCACATTTTCTAAAGCCACTAGAAATCATCATTTCGACAACTTGGAAAAAAATCGAGACTACACTATTATATCAGCCAGTCGATACCCATCTGTAGTACAGAGAAGTAGACATCGCACTACAGTTCCCATAGAATCCTCTTCTGGTCATGAGCCATCAAAAACATTGCGAAGCAGCCGATAAGAATTTGATGGTGGGACCGCAACAAGAAGAATAATAATTTGTGGACTCCTCTCCCCTATTTCCTACCCCACCTTATTAAACGTTTGGATGAACAGTAACTCAATTCAGAGTAGTTCAGCATGCACAGACTGTAAAAAAGGGCGTCTTCATGTTTTCTAGCAAATAGCAAACGGAATTCTGTATTAATCACTATTTATTTTTATTTTTAAACTGGCTCTTTATCGTGTACCTCTGGCAGATACATGCGAAAATGTAGGAAGAAGTGATCCCTGAGATGCACGCTCCACAGATCGAATCCTAGCTGAACCAAAACTCAACACTATATCATATTCTTTGACTGTAGAGACCGAAAACTCATCCAAATAAACACTACGATCTGAATAGGTGACGAGAACATGGCGTATTCAGGGTGGCTAGGTTCTCAAGATTTAGTTTCATCGTCTCCATGAGCATTGCGTGTAGGGAGAATCGTGTAATTTAAAAAAAAAAAATAAAAGTTGAAAAACAACCTTTTTTTTTGAATTTTTAAAAATGTTGGGCACATCAAACCATGGTTTTTCACTCTACTTGGTACATATTGAGCTATTGTTTTTATGGCACTCCTGTGGTGTATATCAAATTAATAAACAAATAAACAAAAGACAAATTCAATAAGTTTAAGGAAGTAAAAAATTGCAGTGTCATGTAGACCCTACGAGTTAGAGTACCACCTACACTGCCCATTGCACTCAAACCCCATTCCAGCGAGATCAGACAATGAAGCCATCATCTACATTGAGATTGCTTTGTTTGGTTTCAGATGATAGGATAAAAATAAAAATAAAAATAAATAGGTAAACAAAGTGTGAACATAATTGTGTGAACACGCCCAGTAGGATTCGACTGAACATCAAATAACCTTCAGAACTCGTTTCATCGACCGTATACAAATACGAATGCGTTTTTGTCTAAATTCCTGAATGAATATAGGATTCGGTCCAAAAAGGACGACTTGGCCCTGTAGGAAGCATAATAAATCGCCCCCCCCCTCCCCCCACTCTCCTTAACCCAACTTAGCATTCCTTTGAGATCTACGAGGTTCACCACAACAACAATGACTGTTGCGGTTAGTGTTTGCCTTCCTGTCGCCATTGTTATGTAAGCGTTATCAGCGAGCGCCGGCTGGTGGCCTCTATGGCGCCATACAAATTCTATCCTTTTGGATTGAGTTCCTTTTCTATTTTGTTTTGATTTGATGTTTTTTGTTGACTGCTGTTTTTTTTTGTTGCAAATAACAATGGGGAAGGCTCACAGGTGTGCCAAGTTATGGGCACAACTTTGGCTACTGATCGGAATCGTACCCATTCCTGATCTTTCTGAACGCGGTGCCCCTATCCCCCACAATGCCAAAATCCTGCTGGTGACTAGGCTTTTAACTCTTTAGCTTTGACTTTTATTTGTATTTTTTTTTATTTTAAT